AATGCTTGCTTCATTTATTATGAGGCAGAACACCATGCTGGAAGAAAAGAAAGATTGAACAGCTTTGCAGATTCCATTAACTTTGGGTAAAATATTCCGTTCTATCTTTGTGGATAAAAGATGCTTAGAAGTTAGAAGGAACCCAAATCCAATTGTAGCAAATAAGCTTATGCATAATTGCTTCTTCATTTCAATTCGAATATGCTTTTTGTGAATTGAAGTACTGCTACGAGAGATCCAGAACATTTCAATGGAGAAAGCAAACCCAAGTCTGTTAGTCAAATTAGAGCCAACGAAGGCCCAATTACCCCAATTGGGTTTCTCCTAATCATTTTATTAAGGTTGAGAATCCTTTCCAATTTCGTGATCCATTTATGTATAAAGTCATTTCAAGTGATCATTCAACCAGATTTAAATAGAGGGGCAGCAAAAATTTTCATTTTTCACTTTAACATTTATCAATTAATTAAAAAAACGAGAAGTATTAGAATCACATCCATAATTTATTTGGCTAGTAATTTTTTTTTTACTGGGCATGTGACTAAGAAAATTCAAGTAGGATCTAGGAAGTTAACTTAACATTGGGAAACGGAATTTTAGCTAACACATCAACTAGGGTTTTAAATTAAAAGGCATTGCCCTTGTAATTTTAATTCAAACTCTCTTTTTCTTAAAATCTTAAGTTGTTAAACTGATCATTTAATCATACAGACTTTTGATACCATGCTATGGAATTCTTTTCAAAAGTTTTAGGTGTTAGTTAAGATGAATGATTTGATATATATCAGCCATTATGCTCGTATGAGATATTTTTCTTTATTTCTTCATTAGAAAAAGCAACTGCTTTGAGTAGACAAAACCGTTTATGCTTATCTGTTTTAAATCACCCAAAAGTGATACTTCTAGAAGAACGTAAGAGAAGTGCTTAGTGGACTGAAATTTTGGAAGGAGAAGCTAAGGGAGAGACAGACGATGAAACTTATGAACCAGTTTGACTTCAGGTATTGTGTAGGTGGGATGAGAGCATTTATGTGTTCGATTCTGTTTATTATTGTCTTTGGAAAGAATTTAAATTTAAAGTCTTAATTCCGATACTCACTCCGAATCGAACTAACCGCGAAAAAATGAATCGATTAAAATATCAAAAAAAAATTATACCTATAGACTATAGTAGATAAGAGCACACATGTCGTTGGGCCATGCTAAGTTTACAGCCATACACATTAAAACTATGCATAACATTTTGGGAGCTTGAAATAGATATGATATCAACAAGTGCACTAAAGGGCCATCTTTACCAAGTGTGAAAACGCACTATGTATGAAGCTAGTATTGCCACGTGTATTGAATATCTTAAAAAGTTGAAAAAGAAAAACTGTCTAAGAACTTTATGTAAAATCCAACTGTATGAGACCCATTTGTGTAGTGCACTCTGATTTAGATTCATTTCAGATTGTTTAGGTTTCAGGTTCCTTGCACATTCTCTTGTACCCAAATATGCAAACCTCTTTCGTATCCTTATCTTATCTTTTTTATTCTCTTATTATTGAAGGTCCTGTTCATATTGGGGACATCCCATTGGAGAGTACTTGCCAGTTATGTTGCACCGACACCGACACGAGACACGACACTCCGATATATTAATTTTAAAAAATATTAAATTTTGACACGTTAGGACATGTTGTGATATTATATAATATTTTTAATTTATGTAGTATATATTATATTTAGTATTTAATAATTTAATAAAAAAATAAAACTAAACTTATAATATCCATCAATTTTGCAAAGAAACATAATATATCTCAAATGTTTATATTAAACTCAATAAAATCGTAATCATAATATAACGAATCTAATAGTTGGAACTCAAAATACAATACAATGCGACATAACCTTTGAACTTTTCTTGAATTTTTGCAACGAGTGTCGGGAAGTGTCGAGAAGTGTCGGAGTGTCGGACACGACACATCAAAATTTTTGAAGTGTCGGTGTCAGGAATTAAGATGAAATTACACTTTGGGCTAAGGTTGAAGAGCAATTCAAGTTTCTGAAGCCCCACTCTGTCCCTGAAGCTAATAACAAGGTTTTCCTTTTAGGGACACCAAATGGACCTCTCTGTGGTACTTCAAGCCCTTGATGGGCCTAAAACAAGAAGAATTCATATGATCTGTTGGAAAAAAGCCTTGATAACATCTGAACCGGGACTTTCTCTGGGTCTACAATAAGTCCTAAACCCTTAAAAACTCCACTCTCTACTAATAAATTTCAATGATGAAATTATGATCCAATGTCGTTTTAGTGAAAAGGAGACAAGATATCTAATGCAACTCAGCCCTAGATGAGACTCTTGGGGCAACCATATCCATGAAAGACCACTTTAAAAATGCATGGTGCATGTTAAAAGAAAGCAACCAAGCATGTGTATCTTCCAAGTTTATAGAAAAAAGTTCCTATTCAAGATGAGGATAAAGATGTTGTGGCAACGTCAACTCAAATGCCGTGGTGTCACTGGCTTTGGATTTGATCCATCTGTCATGATTGGGCCTAATATTTGCGGCCAATGTCCAGTTTATTATTTGATGTAGGCCATTCATGGAACTCAGATATGAGGCACAGGATATAAGCCAGGTAACTTAATTGAATATTCATGATTTCTCCCCCATGTATTTTGTGGTCTTGCATTGAGCTTCACCAATAATAGAGTAACAAAATCTGCATTCTAAATTTACCTTGGCCTCTTATGTTTTTCAAACTTAGATTTGAATTGGATTGATCTGCATACAAAATCGACATTAAGTTTATCCAATCAAAATCAAAAATCGAAAAAAAATAGCATATTTTAATTGGATTGATCGATTTTCTGTTTAGTTGGTGAAAACCGATCCAATCCAAACCGATTGAATGTATTATGTATTTATTATTTTTGAAATTCAGCTAATGCCCTTTTCCCTAATTTAGTAACCCTTATATAGTTACTTTCTTAGTTTTGAACCCTAGAGTAGACTATTCCTAAATTCATACCACCCGCACTGCGTCTCCTTTGTCTGAAGAACCCACTTTCGTTCTAGAATCCAAAGTAGACTATTACTCTATTTTAACTCTTTATGAGTTTTAAGACTTGTTTTAATTTAAAGACTTAAATTTTTCAATAGTTTGTAGTTTTGTATGATTTTATTTTGATATAGCTAATGATTTGTATGGCTGAAATTTTAAACTTGTCAAAAAATAGGAAATCGATCCGATTCAAACCGAATAAAATTAGATTGGATCGGATTTGAGAAAGAAAAAAAAATCAAACCGAAAAGAGAATTAAATGATCAAACCGAAGAAGAGATTGAATCAGATGATTTTTGTTTCAAAAATCGATCCAATCTAGACCGTGAACACCCCTATACCCTTTCAGTTTGGTTAACCTTGTGCTTTGAGATTTGCGCTTTATATGCTTTAATAGAATGTCACTTGTTGGGCTGACAAAGGAAGAGCTCATGCCGAGGAGAAACCATCATCTATTGTATAAGTGAGACATGATATTGAGTGAGTTTAGACACTACAATCAAATCGAAAATCTTAAGGCATTAAATATGTGGGTCCTTCCACTTGTATAACGCTCAGTCAATCTATTCTTAACCACTAGGAGACTTCAGTCACTCACACTTAGATTTGTCAACAAAAACTAGATATGGACAAGGACCTGCCATAACAAGTGACAGCATCGGTTTTCAAATCTTGCTGCTGATTTATCAAATGGAAAAAAGAAAAAAAAAAAAAGGACTTTTATAGGTAAACTACAACATAGTGGTAGCTACAACAGAAAAGGGGGACCATTAGCTTCCCATATGTATAATTAAGAAGTTAAAATTGACTAGATCACTCGATGATCTTAATGGAACTGTCATGGTCACCTCCCTTGACTTGCCTTGAATAACTGAACGTTTATAGGTACAACAATATTTTGTAGCCTATATATTGCTTTAATGCACATCCATATATATTGGGGTGTCTCTTTTAGTTCATATGCTACAAGTGCTCGTGTGTTCGTGCCCACACATAGAAGACTGTTGTTATCACTATACTGCGACACCTAGAAATGGGCATCGGGTTTGATGGGCCAAATGATCTATAGATTAACATGAGTATCTAAAAGTAAAAGAAAATGAAATTGATTATACTATGTATGCATGTGTAGATCTTAAAAGTTATTTGCACTAGAAAAGGCCACTCCACCATTACTCTTTGCTCCTAAGGTGGGACTTCATGGTATATTATTCATCTTCCATATGAAGATACTTCTGAAAATTTGGTAATTTTAAAATTTTACTAGACAAGACATTTGTTATCTGCTAATCTGAATTATATCATCTAGATCCATTATTCTCTGCTACCATGGATTCTCTATTTGAACCTGCCAGTGGTTGGAAATTGAAATATTACCCACTTATATAGACTTACCATGATAAAAAAAAGTCCTTGTTATCAAAATAGCCTAAAGAGGAGGCAGTGAGATATTAATGGGCCATCATAAATCTATCCTAGTCAAAAGCAATTACTTATCAAGAAATTACTTTTAATTTGTTATAGAGTGACTTTCAAGCTCCAAAAATGATGGTGGGATCTCTATAATAATTATTGTCCATCTGTATAATGATATAAACACAGAAAGGTTTGATTGCATTATGTACATGTGTAATTCATGGCCATCGGATATCCATAGCCAACAACCACTTAACACCCAATTCCCACTCAAACCAATAGAAGCATATAGAATCCAAGGAAACACAGCTCTTTGCTACCCACAATCCTTAACACAAATCTCTGGTCTTCACACCATGAGAGAAGGATAAAAAGCATTGTTCCCCACTTATACCCCACTCTTTCTCTATCGCTCATGCACATATTCACGTCATGTGGGTCTCACACAAAAACCTCCAAAACTCCCTCATCATATAAAATTATGGCTAGAGAGTTATTGATTATTTTAAACTGACCCAGCTCCCACTACTCTCAATCATTTCAAACCCTTTGATATCTTTGCATCCTTAAAATAGCCTCCCCCTCCCTCTTGTTAATTACATATGGCTATTCATACTTAACCCTTGGTAAACACCTTCACATAAAACTTCAGAGACAAAGTTCCCAAACTTGCACATATCAAGGACTGCACCATGTCCATGGCAGGGCTTATAGACCCAGAAATGAATCACAAGAAGACCCTCCACCGCAGAAATGATTCTGGTGAGCTTGATGTGTTTGAAGCTGCAAGATACTTCTCAGGATACAATGAAGCTGTTGGCTATACTGGCTCTACTTTAACCCAAAAGATCATGAGAGAAGAAAGGCACGGACACAGAGCCAGAATCAGCTTAGACATGCCAATGAGAAGCTTGCTTCCTCAACAATTTCATGGCATGGAGAAGCAAATGAAAGAGAAGAAACACAAGCAGCCTAGCTCTCCAGGTGGTAGACTTGCAAGCTTCTTGAACTCTCTCTTCAGTCAATCAGCTTCTAAGAAGAAGAAATCAAAATCCAGTACACAGTCTATGAAGGATGAAGATGAGAGCCCTGGTGGTAGAAGGAGGAGGAGGAGCAGCATTAGCCATTTCAGAAGCTCCAGCACTGCTGATTCAAGGTCCATATACTCTTCTTTAAGCTCAGGTTTTAGAACTCCTCCTTACGTGCAAACACCAACAAAGAGCTGCAAGGAATTCAGAACCTTGTCAGATCACAAGCATGCAGTGTCCTTGTCAACAAAGTACAACGAAAGTGTAAAACCAACCACTTTGCAAAATGAGTGGTTGGATGATAAGAAAAAGAGGGACCCTACTTTGTTGGATGATAATAACAAACATAGTAATGGTTTATCAGAGAAACAAAAGAAATGCAGCAATGAGTTTCCTGAGAAAAATAGGATATGGTTGGACAAATACTCAGAAGAAGAGAAGGAAATCAGAAAGTTCAATGAGGTTGATGATGGTGCAGAAAGTGATTCAAGCTCTGATCTGTTTGAATTGCAAAACTATGACTTGGGTTACTATCCAAGTGGTCTACCTGTCTATGAAACTACCAACATGGATAACATCAAGAGAGGAGCACCAATTTCCAATGGCCCTCTGTGATACTGTGAATTTTCTCCTTCTTAATTGGTTCCTGTTGAACTAGCAAGTTTAGAAGCCATGTAAGAGAAAAATCTACTAGATTTTGCCTGTTTCCTTCTGGGTTTCATTTCAACTTCTTTCAATACTTTTCTGTGTGTACAGCTTTTGGAATGTTTTACTTGTCTTATATAATTTTATCTACTTTTCTTTCTTTGCTTTTGAACCTTAATTTGTTTTAGAGTGCAAAAACAAAACAAAAATGTCCACCATTAGTGGCTTGATCAGATTTTTGCCGTGATTTTTGGTTTAACAACATGTTATCAAGAGTTTCTTGTGGGCTGCAATTATGAGCCTTATTGACCTTGAGATGGAAAAAATCATACTTAAAATCAACCTTTTTGGCTGCATGCCTTAATTTGACGCGGGTCAATCCTTGATTTTTATAGAGAATGGGACTAAAACACAAATAGATGAGTATAATATATCTGTCAAGTCCTGCATGATTCATCTACATCTCTCATCTATATATGCATATATTGTCCATGTTGGTGATGAGTCAAAGGTTTTTTAGTTCTTTTTTCATTTTAAGAGTTGAGGTTTTGGTTTTGCAATTCCAACTTAGGTGGGGACAGTAACAATGCTTAATTATTCCAATGTCACATTGTCAAGCTAAGCTCATGGAGTGGAAGGTGGTTAATTAGGGGTTTGGGAACTTGAAAAGTAAGCAAATGGAGATCTAATAATTTCTTCCTCTAAACTAATGTCCATGATGTGACATTATCAATATTACATTTTAAGCTGTGTCCCGCTAATGGTGGGTCAATTGAGAACTATGAAGAAAAAAGAAGCACAAAAACTAGTTATCATTCGTACAATCCATGGTTTTTTTTTTTTACAGTTTTGATCTTAGCTTGCTAAGCCAATAATTAGGAGCTTGATATGCTTAATGAAATATCTGTCTAATCAAATGACCTAACATAGAAAGTCATGGAAATTTCATTAATCTAATATATTTTTCTCGGTGTTAGAGACAGAATCCAGACAAACATCAAGATTTACCACGCAATATATTAGGCACAGTTTTTAAAGCTAAAACAAAAAATAAAATATAAGACAGACAAATCTTACGAATGAGATACAAAAATAAGTTCGCACTTGCTCAATTTCCTAATTAATTTATTAGAAAAACTACTCTTATGTTATATGTGATAAATTTTTCTCCTACACACCATTCGATAATTGTGTCATCTTTTTTTTTTTCCAAGCGGTGGAGCCCACAAGTTTGTCTCTATGACATGAGATAACTTATCTCCTTTAACATAAGATTAATAAAACTCTTAATTTATATGAAAAACTGTTTTTTTCATTTCACATAAGCATCCATACTCTTCTCACGTCAAAAGATGAGCGATTCTTTTTTTTTTTAATATGATAGGCCCCATTTTATTTGTCTGTGAATTCTCTCCAATAATATGAGAGAAATAATGCCCAATTTATATGAGAGTCAAAATGTAAATTTAGATTTTTTTTTGCTATATCAAAAAATAAATAGATTTGGATAAATAAGCAAAGGGTTTGATATTTGTTATGTTATAGGAGATAAAATTATCTCTTACACATATATAAAAATATGTGAAACCCGTATGAAATCATGTAAATAAAAGAGAGAGAAAAATGAATCACACATACTTTTTATATATGTATAAGAAATAAAATTCATAATATATTTTTTAGGGGAGGGTTATATTTACAAACTTTTTTGTTTACAAATTCTTACAAATTACACTATGTTCTCCCAGGAGAACACTAGGGGGCATTTGGTACAGGAGAAATTTTTATTTGTCCGGGAATCTCGATTTTCAAAAATATGATTTTTACATCCAGTTTATGATAATATCTGAAAATTTAAAATTTTAAAAATTTCAGTTTCCTAGAAATCCGAGAAAAATCCGTGTACCAAACAGCCCCTAGATTACACTATCTTTTCCGAAAAAAACATAGTGTATTTGTAAAAAAAAAAATTATAAACGAATCAGTACTTTTTATAATGTGATAAACATTAAATTCATAACGAAATGAGTTAGATGCTTGCAAAGTTTGTGAGGATGCAATTTCTGGCCGGGGGTATGATCTAGCATTTTATTTATGGCTTACAGTTGGAAGCTAGCAAGGAGTTAAATGATGGACTAATTGGGTAGCCTTTTTGAAAGAATGATACAAACAAATGATGCATGGGGAACCAAAAGGGTCGGTGTAACTATCAGTGTTGGGGTGGAGGGCCCAAACCTTGTTATAATTCAATTTGAATCGCAATTGTAAAGTTCGCTATGTATGCTCAGGCCTTGATGCTTTGCACTAGAGTAGAGGCCTGAGGGAAAGAGATAGGGACAGAGTGTGATAGAGAGAATGAGAGAGAGACATGCCCATCTTTTCTTATGGGCAATCAAATCTTCCTTTTTCTTTTTCTTTTTTGTTTTTTTAGTAAAAGTTAATCCAACAAATATAAATGAAAAACAAAGGCACAAATCCCTTCACTAAATGTATATATGCATATAAATATATATCATGCTCACTTCCTTTAAAAAAATTTACTTACAAATCTAAAACTGTTTTCTAGTAAACTCCTCATGATGATGGATTATCAAAGAATAGTTGTGCTGATTTTTCATTGTTTGTGCCTTAAAAAGTTTGTTAGGAGTGATTAGCGAATGAAACTGATCAAAAAGGAGAAAAGGTTCAACTCCTTCCTAGTAAACTCTTCATGAATCATGATAATGGATTATCAATAATAGTTGTGCTTATTTTTCATTGTTTGTGCCTTAAAAAGTTTGTTGGGAGTGATTAGCGTTAATAAAACTGATCAAAAAGGAGAAAAGGTTCCTACCAGCAAAGCTATCCCAACAGGAATATATATATATATATATATATATATATATATATATATATATATATGGAACAATATATTCTTACACTGGTGTAAGAGTTAGAAGTCTTACACTCAGTCTTAACAATTGATCCACTTGAATTCAATGGCTCACGTTACTAAAAAAACCCTTAGATATAAGTGGGATTAACGGACAAGATTAAGAGTGTAATATATATATATATATATATATATATATATATATATAAATGATCCTGTCAAATTTCAAATTATATATATATATATATATATATATATATATATATATATATATATTGATCTTTTTTGATCTAATGGCTCTCAGGTGAGGTGTCAAAGGATCCTGCCTTATATATATATATATAGGGATAGGTTATTTTGCTTACTCATTATATATATATATATATATATATATATATATAGGGATAGGTTATTTTGCTTACTCTCGTTTTGTCTATCTTTGTCTACCCCTTTCATTACCATTACCGTTCATTACAATCTAATCCAACGGTTCATATTGACGAAATAAATAAACTTTTTTTCACCCTTTCTTTCTTCTCAATTCCTCCCACACCCTTTCTCTCTTCCTTTTGTTGACGATCCTTTATTTTTATTTTTATCGTTTGATGGTTTATTCATTTTATTGATACGTTCTAATTTTTTTTTATTTGTTTTGAGGGTTTATGATTACAATTTCCAGATTCATTGATATTTGATGGTAATCTAACTGATATGAAATCATATAATAACTTGATTGTCTGGGAATCAAATAAATATTTTTTTATTGTTTATTTTTTCTCATATGCAATATATTGGGATCCAAAAAAATATATTTTATTTGTTATTATTAATTATTGTCAGTGATTCTGTATTCTACCTTTTGAATTTATGGTGTTATGTTAGTTATTTGTGAATGAAGTGGAGTTGCTGGAATTGTGCTCCCTGAAAAGGTTGTTCGAAGTGCAGTAACCAAACCGGATTCAAAGATATACTTTGTATTCATAAGCATGGAAAAAAATTGATAAATTGAAATTGGGAATATATGTAATTAACCAAAAAAATAATAATTGAAAAACCTTATCAGGATCGTTGGATTAGTTTTGCGAAAAAACCTCGTAAGTTCCAAAACTAAAATAAAAATACACTGTCGTGCATTCACCAGGCGGCAGACATCATCGATAAAGGTGGTGAAAAAAATAGGTATAGCAGAAAGAAAGAGAGAAAGGATGTGGGAGGAATTGAGGAGAAAAAAAGGGAGGAAAATGATTTATTTTATTTTGCAAATATGGACCGTTGGATTATATTGTAATTGAACGGCAATAAAAGAGGTAGGTAAAGGTAGACAAAATGGAAGTAGGCAGAATAACATATCCCTATATATATATATATATATATATATATATATATATATATATATATATATATATATGAGAAAAATATTTCTCAAGCAGCTTGACATAAGTTTATCTCCGGCTAATCAAAAACTACGTCGTTTTATTATTTATTTCCTTATATCAATTGATTCACCTTTGAATGGTTTTGATTTCCTTTTTCTCTCTCTTCATTTATCACCATTGATCCATCTTTGTACGGTTATGATTTAGTAGCCGGAGATAACATTGTCTCAAGCAGCTTGAGAAACGATAAGCCCTATATATATATATATATATATATATATATATATATATATATATATATATATATATATATATATATATATATATATATATATATATATATATATGTATTAATAATTTTTTATGTTATAGAGATAATTATATCTCATACACACTCATAAAAATGTGTGATATCTCTTTTCTTCACATGGCTCTATACACTTTTATATATATATAGAAGATAAAATTACCTCTTATAACATGAGAATATTATTCATATATATATAGGGTTCACTTTTTCTGTAGTTACTGCAGATAAGATATCTGCAGTAAGCCCGATATGATGTTGTTTTGGAGCGAAAATCATGGTATTTTTGTAATTTTAATTTATTTCAGGGTTATTATAGTCTTTATAATTATAATTTTCTAATCTTTCAATCCCAAAACGATATCGTTTTTGAAGTAAATACAGATAACTTATCTGCATTAACTGCAGAAATATTTTTCTGATATATATATATATATATATATATATATATATATATATATAGTTTAAGATTATAAATAATTAAATAAAGGGAAATATGCATGTACTTTCCCATTACAAAAATCATTGAAAATTCCATTAATTTATGCATAGGGGCAACGTATATGAATAAATGAGATTGGCATAAGCGTTGCAATTTGTTTGACTAGAAATTC